AAACTTATTTTCACAGTTAGCAAAATGGTCCGTTAATTAGCTGAAGTTCTTCCAGGTGGACGCGGTTCGAAACTCACGGGGGGCATACGCACACGCGGGCGCTCGCGTGGGAGAGGGAAGTTCGTCGCCGGCGCGGGAGCGGGGCCACGTGCGTCGCCGGGAGCCCGTGAGCGGGGGTAGCGTCGCCGGCAGCCCGTGAGCGTGGGTAGCGTCGCCGGCACCCGTGAGGAGGATTTTTTTTTAATTTGACCGGCGGTTTAAGACCGCCGGAAAGATTTGCCGCCGGTAAAAACCGCCGGAAGTTTTTTTCCTACGCCGTTTTTTCTGGCGGTAAATAAACCGCCGGAAAACGGCAAAACCGCCGGAAAAGGTTCAATGTCCGCCGGAAAAGGCCGTTAGAAATGGGTGATTTTCCTGTAGTGTGAGTTTTATATTCTGCAACAATTTTTGTTGGGTGTTTGGGTTCCTAGTGGCAGCTAAAAATTGTGGGAGAGACGGCTCACCTCTCGAATAGTTAATCAATTTGTATCTTGTGTTTATTTGCTTGGAGATTAATAAAAACAACCCTCTTGGTGTTATTTATGGATCTATTTGGAGTAAGTTGCTATTTTCTTTATTGTTGTGTGTTATTTTGATCATTAAGTCCTATAAGTCTACCACGAATTTGAGTTCTCAGAAATTTTTGTCAACAAATATCTTCATGAGAAACTGAAAACACTAGAGGTGTTCGCATACACTAGCAAGAATTTCATCTCATTGATGGAGTCAAGTACTACTATTTGCCTCGATTGGTGAAGCATTGTTAAGACATGGCTGTATTGGAGGAAGTAAATAGCCATACAATACTTGAAATGGTGGCATGCTAATGAAAGAATGGTAAAATGAATTATATGAATATTCAGACAATAGGAGTTGAATCCAAAGTGTGAGATTATCAATTATAAAATAACATAAGTATTATTCTAAGCCTCTTGCATAAAAGCTCACGGGAGGAAGATAGTTCACCGGGAAAAAAAAACAATAGAACGGTATCAAGTATATGTATATTTCTCTACTTTCTTCTTCTAATACAATTGGGTTCATATATTTTACCTAATACTATGTTGCTGTATCAGGCAAAACACAAAAAAAAAAAGATAACTGCAGTACTTTTGTAATAGAAATAGAATAAAGTTGTAATAGAAGTAGTGGAGAGGAGCATTTGTGATGGAATATCCTGCAGCATTATGTAGTCTGCATATCAGCTCTCTACTGTTTTAGAAGAGCTTGCTTCCGACAAGGTTATGGCAGTAGGAGCATTTTCAAGAGGGTAGTATGCATAAATTTCAGTCATATTAAATGTTGAAGATGCGTGAAAGATTGCTAGCAAGTCAACAATGTAAGCATTGTCATTGATGTGGTAAAGGATAGGAAACAGGCCTAGTTTCCTTCTGCAATCGTAACATAACAAGGTCCCGAGGCCACTTACCGTCGGCGATGTAGGACAGCTTGTGGTTTATAATTAGTGTGGGAAGTCGTTAATTTTTCTCTAATTGTTTTGAGCATATTGGTGAACTGAGTAGCAGTTTTGGCTGCTATTGTGTTGCTGCATTTAGGTAAAACTGCAAGATCAATGAGGTGATTTGATAGTTTTGTATAGACAATGCTAAAGGACATTGGCCGGTCAAACGATTGGACATGGAATTGTACACAAACTCAAACTAGGCTGAGGAGATCTTCCCAACGTTTCAGATTTTGTTGAACAAGGTAATGGAATATGATAGTAAGTGTTTGGTTAAAAAACCCGGTTTGCATATCAAATTGTCGATGGTATGCAGAACTTAACTTGATAACAGTGTTTAACCATTTCCACAGTTCCCGTCAAAAGTGACTTATGAATTTGACATCGCGATCAAAAGTAAGATTCCGTAGCAAGCTGTGTAAACGAGCAAATTTCTTTAAAGAAAAGGCTATCAATATTTAGTGCATCAAATGACTTTTTACAAGAAATGAAGTGATCATGATAGAATAGGATCCATGATTCGTTCAAGGAAGGCCTACTACAAAATCAAGGCTTAAGTGATGCGGACATCGGTACGAAGATTTGGCGCATCTATCACATGAGGCGTCGTAAATCGACAGCTATAATTTAAATCTTCAATTATGAGTTATTTTTCTGAATTTTAGTTCTTATTTGATGTATTTCCTGTTTTACCCCTAGGTTGGTTTATGTGAGTGTTGTGGCCCAAGGGGCAATTTTGTATTTTGAATTTTCTTATGTTGTGGCCTATATATAGGGCCTTAAGCTATTGTAATAGGGATGAATTATTGATATTAAAAATTTGTGTTCCACACTTGTGTTCTCTTGAGAGAGCATTAGAGAGATTCCTATGGGAAGAAATCGGTGTTTTCACCAGCCGCAGGATGGGTCCGTGCTCGTGACTTGAAATCCCTTGGAGAAGGGCAAAGCATCACCCGTCAGTCTTCGGAAGATTCCAAGGCTCGCGGTTGTTATTTTCTTTCTTTGTTTTTGTTTTGTTCCTTCTTATTGCTCCTATTAGTCATCTTCTTCCTCCTCCCCTCTCCACCTCACGGCTAATCCCCCATACCCAAACCCATGCCGCCGGCTCCACCTTAGTAGCCGTCGGCCTCACCTTTACCTCCTCCTTCTTGAGTTTCCTAATTTGTGGTCCATATTATTATGGCTTAATTTGAAATTCAAATTGTTTAAAAATTTGAAATTCAAATTTCTCTCCTGATTTAGCTCACCTATTTTTGGAAAGTGCTCAATTGAAATCAATTTGAATTTTAAATTCAAATCTGATTTATTGTCTCACTTTCCTAATTCTTAAATTCAAATCAATGAGCCATAAATCTCCACATTAATTGCTCCTTGGTTCTTGCTTGGCCGAACCCCCCCTCATGCCCCACCTCTTGATTTCTTTACTTTTTCCCTTTCCTTGCTTTAAGGAAATAGTTTCAAATCCACTTAATTTCAGCCTAGCCGAAATTTCCCCTTAACCCAATTTTTTATTTTTGTTTCCTAAATCTAAAACCTGATTCAGGAAATAATTTTCCCCTTTTTGTTTTTCCCCTCCCCATATCACCGGCTTACTAATTCCAGCTTAGCTTTAAAAAATTTCAGCCACCTCTTTTAGCCGACGTTGAATAAATTTATTGCTTAATTGATTCCCTAATTCATATCCCAGATTTACGGAATTGAATTTTCCCTCAGCCTTCCTTGTATCCTGCCGCCCCTTCTCCTCTCTAATTCATCAGATTTTTTTTTTCTATTCTTTTTTTTCACCGTCTCCCTCCTTCTCTTAATTGCTCCAGATTTCCCTGCTGCTGGCCGAACTCCCCCAAGCTCTTTTCTTGGGTTGTCTCTCCCCAACTCTCCCTCTCTCCCACTCAACACCTTGCTGGAATTAAGGCTTGAATGCTCCTTCCAATTCCCCTTCCTCCTAAGCCCAGAATCCAGAAATTTCTCTCATAATTTTTTGGATCAAAAGCTGAGATTGTTTTTAGATTCTTTTTTTTAGAGAAAGAAGCTTGGAGCTTGCTTCCCCTCTCCTCTCAAGAGAAAATCTGAGATTCTTCTCAGGTATTGGGCAAAGAAGTCAGAATTTCCTTCAGATTTTGGAGAAGAGATCCTCTCCCTAGCAAAGCCTCCCACCCGTTCTACATCATTAAGTGTTCCCAAATGAAATTTGCAACTCAGAGAAGTATATAAACCCCTATTTATAGTAGTTCCTTTGTAGGTTTGGCAAACAAAAAAAAAGCTCTACAAAACGGACAACATCGCAACGAATATGTGGACGAAAAAATATAGGATTGTAATTGAATCAATGTCTTATCTCTCCCAATGTGAAAAAATCAAAATCAAATCTTATCCAAAATAACTAATGAAATTGGACTCTACACTTAACAAATTCAAATAATATTCTTGCCACTGAGTATCTTATTGATTATTGGTTTGAACTTTTAGCAACAACTTAGCCCGGTAAGCATCTCGAATACAATGGAAGACAGACACAGATGTTTGATGCATATGGGACATATTATACTACCATGAATGTTGTCATATAAAGCTTGAAACCAAATATTGACTTATTTGAGACTTCAACAAAAAGGAATAAAGATTATTTGTGATTTACCTGCATGCACAAGGAATTATCAAATCTCCATAATTAATTCCATTTTTTTCTCTTAAAAAAATGAACTTGCTCAATATAGGTGATAAAATTGCAACTTTTAAAGAAAACTGGTCCAAAATTCAAGCTGTTTTTTGGGGAGAAATAAGCTTCAATAGTCATGATGGAACAAGCATAATTGCATGTTGTTAGGAAATCTTGAGGAGGAAGTGTGATAGCCCAAACTTTTAACTATGGAGATATTGTCCGCTTTGGCCTAATGGTCTCACAGTTTTGACATGTTGGTGTAACTTCTCAATAGGTCACCCATCTCAGAATTGCTTCGGGATGAGAACGCTTAACTGTGGAGTTTCTTACATAAATTCTAGTCATTACACCAAAAGGCGCCTCAATGCTTAAAACTTTAACTTTTTTTTACTTAAGGGATTTCACAGGAAGAAGCTTCTTGATCTTTTTTGGATGAGAGGGAGAGAGAGAGAGGGAGAGGGACAGAAGGGAGACAGGAGTTTGGAGGAAAATAAAACTCAGCTTTATTCAATTTTCCCCATCAAACACATACAAGCCACCCCTACTTACGGTAAAACAATTAGAGGGTCAAAATAATAAAACCTAAACTAAACACTTAAATCTAGATCAAATATCAAAACTTGGCAACCACAATACTGGAGAATGCAACTACTGGTTTTTTATTAACCAAACTCTAATAATAAGTATTTCTTGAACTGTCTTTTATACTGATATCTTTAATCCAACATTCTTCTTGTCTGAAAAAGGAGTTTCATAGTACTGATAAACCCAAACAATATAGACAAATTCTAAGTTACCGACCAAACTTATAAAGGAAAATCAAATCACCATAGCCTCAAATAATAAAAAATTACTATGCGCTATAATTCCCATTTCATTAAAATACACCACATCATTACTTTGTATGAGAGTTCTACTACATGAATCTAACTGGAAAGGCATATATATGTTTATACACAGATGCTGCTTTCCAGGAATCCTGTAACTCTGATCACCTTTCTATATGCCTAAAACTAGAAATTTTATGCTCCTTAACATACAAATTACAGCTATAAAATAACTGGAAACCCAGTTAAAAAAGGATGAGAGTTGAAATGTTTAACTTTTTGAAAAGATCTAACCTCATTCAATCCGAAAAGGGTAAAAACTAAACGCCAAGATCAACATCAATCTTAGCTTGGAGATCTACCAGAAGGCTCCTCAGTCTTAAGATCTCAGCCTCAAGTGCAGCCTGTCCTTGCAATCTCCTCAAGAGCTGCTGGTTCATAAAACGCAATTTCTTCACTTCTTCCTCTAAGTAAGCTGCATGTGCCTTCTTCTTCTCTCGATATTTCCGAACAGCCTCCTTATTCCCCAGTGACTTCCTGGCTGGCTTCTTCAGCTCCTTTCCCTCTCCTTGTTCTTCTTCACCAGAAGCAAACACTTGGGTGTGAGTGTGGTGGCAAGTATGGGTGTGTGTTGCAATGGCTGGCCCCGGGGAATTGCAAGTGTGGGTATGTGTACATGTTCTTGTATTTCTCAACAGCTCATCAATGCTTTCGCAGCTTGATAAGTCAGGATTAGTTGAAAGAGGGTAGCTTGAATAGTCAACTTCTCCATCATCCATCACTACCTTGCAGGTCTTTCATTCCATTCCAAAGTGAATTAGAACCAACTGCTCCTTCATTCCAATCCTTGGAGCTAATAGAATCGATGAGAATAACTTAAACTTTCAACCAAAGATGAGATTTTGCTTCAGAATCGGATTTTATATATGCTTGCAGATTTCCAGCTTTTGTGCAGCTCAACTAATCTTACAAGAAAGCTCTCACTTCTGAAGAAAATCCACAACGAAGCAGAGAGAGTAAAGCCAGATGAAACTTTCTGGCTATTTCAAACTGCTTACGTTCAGAGCTAGAGCATCAGAATCTGAATTGTAAGTTACACGGGGAAGGGGTTAGAAGACTAACCACTCTTCCCATGGAACTGGGCAAGAGATGGCCTATCAATTAAATTCAACGATTACTCTTCCGTGGCAAAAATCGAGCATCAAAAACGGAACTTGACGCAGGAAACACATGGAAAGCTCTTCAATTGGACAAGACAACGAAATTGGATCGAGAAGTTAAAGACCTGCAACAAAAGATCAATCACTCTTTACAGGAGCGATTTCGTGATATTCGAGCACTGAGATGTGCTTTGGTGGAGTGGAAATCGATCGAGCATCAAAAACTTGAAATTAACGGAGGGACCGTATCAAAAGCTCTTCTGATGGAGCTCTGAACTCAGCCAGCATATAGAAGAAAGCAGCCTTTTTCTCTCATATTGGCTTTTTCCTCTGCCTTTCAACGCAATAAAGCTTTTGTTCTCTTTCAGCCGGTGGAGCCGAATCTGAAATATTATCCTACCTAAAATAAAATATATATTTTTTATGAAATTTTTATTTGATTTTGATGATTTGATGTAAGATAAATAAATATAAAAGTTTAGTATTAGATGTATAAATAGATAAAGAATTATATGATATAAATTTAAATCATCTTTAAAAATGAATCTCATATTACATGTGGATAATTAGATTAATTTTATAGATAATGAATAGTTTTATGAAAAATTAAAAGAGAATTATTTTGTAATTAGCATTCTTTTATATTACACCGTGTTTAGTAGGTTAAAAAATGAACATCGTATGAAAGAAATATATTGTATTTGAAATTCTTTGGTATTGTTTGGATGATCATAAAATAAATGCAAGTAATTACTTTTTTATATTTATTTGAAGTAAAATGAATGCAGTGCAACGTCAAAAAATTAGTGATGTTTAGTGGATAGTATCAAAGCGGTGGTGGTCGATGGTGGTGTTTGGTTATTAGTGGTGGCAAGTGGTCATCGACGATGACTTTGATGGTGGGAACGTATGGCGTTCGACAATGACTTGCGGGTGATGATGTTTGGTGATGGACAATGGCGGCGGCCAATTGATGGTGGTAGCCAGCAGCTGACAATGGACAACAGCAATTTTGATGAATTTATTATATATTAAGAAAGAGCTCAAAAAATAGGAATCCCAAATGCGCTGAAATTGAGCTAAATGGTGAATCCTAAATGCACAACATTTGTTGTATTTCAAATCAAATACTAGTATTCATGAAACCCTTATATGTAGGAACAATTATTACGTCCTATGACTGGACGTAGAGCTACGTTTGGCTGCCAATTACATGTCGCTACGTGTTCTTACTCTTTACCGCGCGGCCCGAAGACTTGACCCGGACCGGAACTTGGGAATGCTATGTTTCACGTACTGCAATGTATTACTCGGTATTTGCTTGGTATTGCTTAGCAATAACAAGAAATGCAGCTCTGTGAAGACCAATACCAAGTAATACCGAGTTGTACCGAGTTTTTCTAGAAAAACTCGGTACAACTCGGTATTGCTCGATATTAATCGGTATTTGCTCGGTATTGGTTATTGTCGAGCAAAATCGACCAATACCTAGCAATACCGAGTGATACCGAGCAATACCGGTTCCGTTCCGGGTAGGATTGTCGGGGCACACGGTAAATAGTGAGAACGCGTGCCGTGATTCTACTGGCGACCGAACGTAGAGCTACGTCCTGTGACCGGACCAAATAAAAGTTCTATATTTAGAATCCATGCATTTGATATTCAATTCGCTTAAATTTATTAAAAAAATTTCATTTCAATATTTTAAAATTTTCTAAATTAGTTTGTATAAAAAGGTTTTTATTTTAAATATAGGTATTTTTAAATACATATACTCTCCAACTTTAATATAAAAATATTTATTAAAATTTTATTTCAATGCCCAGATAATTTTTAGCGGTTGTTTAAAGGGAGGAGGCCCACCTCAAGAATTTGACCTTTTTTTGCCTGAAAGCTGATTTAATAGCAGCCGACAACTCATTTGATGCCCTTTATTGCAAGAATACGGATATCCTTCGCGGAAGAAATCCTGCCCTCGTTCCAAATGAAGCGTGTTAAAACGGTTTGATGGATCTGTTTTAGGTTTGACACGAAATTGATCAAATTAAAATTCAATTAATTTGAATCAATCTGTTTAATAAACGGGTCAAAAATATCAATTCAAACACGATTTGCTAGCAACCATAATGACGTAAACCCTTCCTTTTTTTTAATAAACTAGTAACTATAATGCTTAGCATATTTGATAAAAAAGAAAAGAAAAATTGCCGATTATGATTATTTAAAAAAAAAAAGGACGATATATGTTAAATGCATCATTTTAGAGAAAAAAATGAGTTTGTGAGTCAACGTAAACTCGATCCGTTTAATAAATAAATTGGAAAAACCAACCTAAACCCACCCATTTATTAATTTGGTAAACCTGAACTTGAATTTTGGTTGACGGGACAGGTCATTTATTGACACCCATGTGACGCACTGGAATTTTTTTTGAAAGAATTGCACATATCTTTTATTTTAATCATTTAACTATGTGGGCTCCGAAAAATTCCATTTTTAGATTGTGTTATGATCCCGACCTCTCCACGCCATCCGTCAATTTTTTTTTTAAATGTTTGGGTGACGATGACGTAGAGAGTTTTAACTAGATTAGGTTCCGGGGGAATTTTCAGAAGGCAGATTGGGTTTTAGATAAGACACTACCCAGAGATTTCGCCCTCATTTTGTGAGGACTTTTTGATTTGAGTTCTGGTTTCCTATAGGCGCAAGCCCCTATAGTTAATTACCCCTCCTGATAACAGGAGAGAACTTTCGATTAAGGCTAGTCGTAAAAGATGTCAAATAGGTTATAAATCTATTGTATAATAGCAATAATTTTAGGGTTTAAATTTTAAATTTGAAAGTTTTAAATTTGGAATTTATCACCACAAAATTTAAAACTGATGGTGGGGGGAATGAAGACGAGCCCGATCAAGATCTCATGGTTCCGTCGTTCCGGGCTGTCATGATCCCTGATCTACTTAGTTAGAGGAGGTAGTCGACCCAACCTGACATAAGATATCTTGTCGGCAGCCATGGGTTGCTTCGTCCAAGAATACCTTGTAGACCTGGGTTGATGTTGGTCTATGGGGATATATCTAAATCCACCTTAGTTGACAAAGAACTTGATGCCTATCGAATATACCCTATGATTCATAACTCAAGGGTTTGACGCCTTTAGGGAACATACGGGCTTTGGCCGTGATCGTAATATAATGGTGCCATTTTGCGGCAAAACCACCCGATCAGAGGGCACGTGCCACGTCCCTGTTGGCAAGAGACTGTTTGAGGATGAATCGTAGTGATACACCCAACATGCATTCGCTCTTTGTGAGATGAGGTTAATTTTAAATTTATCACCCCCGACAAACGGTTGCGGGAGGTGGATGATTTTTAATTTTAAGTTTTTAGGTGATTGATTTCATTTCAAGAATTTGTGCTTTTGTTAGATTTCCAATTTAACATTTGAGATTTAAAATTTGACATTTGAGATTTGAGATTTGACCCCTCCTCAGAGATTTGATTGGATTTAAAATTTGAGATTTGACCCCTCCGGTTGAGATTTTCGATCAACACGACCATCATCGGGGTGTTTTTAAAGACATTTGTATTTTCGTAGGATTTTGGGAGGCATTTTATACTTCAAGTCATGTCGACTCCAGTCCTTTCAAGGAGGAGGATGAAACTTGAATATAGACCCGCTCAACATTCTCAAATCGTTGGATTTGGGACTTAGATGTGACGATTGGAGCACATGCGGGTTGTAGCATTTGACCCTGCGCAGTTTTCTCGGTCATTTGATGTTTGTAACTTTAATGCATTGACCGGAGCACATGCAGGGTATTTAATTTAATGAATCACATTTAATATATAAGGGACATTTTAAAAATATTTAAATATGATCCGTTATGTGAGAGTGATTTTATTTAAGAAATGCCCAAATTTTCATTTTAGGACCTAAGAACGCCTTCTGTCTGCTTGTAGACATGTTGCGGATCTGGTGGCGTTAATCTAAATTCGGTTTCATTTGTAGCACATAAAAATACATCCATTTGTTGTTATTATCCCACTCAATATAGCTTGCAAATAATGATTGTTCTATAGACATTACGAGATCATGCTCATTCGTAGGAGAATTATCTTGCTTGTTATAAGTTCTCCTATCCTCTCCCGTAAATAGATTAGTTTATTTGATATAAACTCTTTTCCCTTGCTTGCAAACTAGTTGTTGTAGGCACTACGAATTCCCTATTCCTTCTCATAGGTGAATTGTAGTATTTCGATACGAACTTCTTGTTCTTGCCCACAGATTAGTTGTTATGGACATTGCGAACTCCCCACTTTTGTATATGATTTTACTCAATATTGAATTAAGAAGTAATTTTATTATTTTGATTTGTATCGAAATTATATTTTAGTCACAAAGACTCTTTAAAGTCAAATCATTTTATTATAGTTCGTCCAAATTACTTTTTTTTTTTGTAACCGACACATCTATTATCATTTTCTTTATTATTCTAGAGATGTTCAGTTAAAAAATAAGAATAATTAATTTTGTGAGAGTCATTTGAACATTTTTAAATCTTCCCAAAATTTTGGCTAAGTTTAGAATTTTTGAGTAAATTTCGGCAGCCTTCCGGCGTCCCCTCCCCGATGCCGGGAGGTAAGGGAGCGCTCGACTCGACCGGATTAAATTGACGGCGAGGAGATTTGGGAGAGCGAATCGATCCCAAAATGAGTCTTCGAATATTCTAATACGTGTAATCTATTGATTGAATAGTTCAATTGATTGATCAAATGATATGTTTAAATCATTACTAATTTAGTTATTTTTGCTTAATTGAGAGTTCTCCACTTTTCTCAAAAATTCGTATAAGTCCAAAATTTTTTCTAAGTCCTGAATTTTTTAGAAAATTTCGT